GGGGTACTGTGAGACATCTCCAAATGGGCAGCCATATGAACTTTACACATATCCAATCTTCCTACAGGTTCTTTCATTTGAATGAATCCCCGGATTTGATGCACTTCTCCTGTCCAAGGATGCCTTTCTTTTTGTTAGATAGGTACTGAAATTCATCTTCATTACTCAGAAACATGTCCCGATCTTCTTCTTTGACCAGAGGAATGAAAAAGGGCCAATTGATGGTCACTCTGTAACTTCTATAAGGGTCCTTAGAGTCATAGATTTTCTCAAATTTATCTATGTAAACATTTCCGGGTTGTGCCATTAGAGTGGTCACCTCTGTTCTTCTTTAAGGCGTAGAATCTTCATGATCCCCCATGGGTTCAGTCATTCTCTTTTCCAATAAGGTATTTTTTCTTCCTCTATTTTCATATCCTCTGTCTCCATATCCTCTACTCTAGGAATTCTCTTTCCAAACTGACTTTTACTCCAGACCTTGTTCATGCTAAATGATGTGTTTTTTTACTTTCAGGCCCCAGTATTTCTACCTTAGGATCACACCTGCACTTTTTCGACACTCCCTTCCCACCCTCTCTCAAGGCCATATCTACCATTGAGGCAAGTGAGGCAAATGTCTCACTAAATTTTTAGAGTTTTTTGAAAAGTGAAAAAGTTTTACATTGTACTTATGTGTGTCTTCGTGCTAAATTAATATTTTCAACTTTTATTTCCATTTTTGTAAATCATTCATTTAACCAGTTGCCTCATTTTCATTTACATCGCATATAAAACTTAATTCAAAATGTTTATTTTGTAAATTATTCGTTTATTTAACACCCCTTCTAAGAATTTCTCATTCATATTGAAACACTTGCCGATGGAGGGCTGCAAGTTTTAAATCTGTACTGGGCTTTCAGGATCAGTGAAGATGATTGAACAGTGAGAGGTCTTTTTGTGCCATCACTTACTGTGACATAGGATCTCGGTTTTTACGGTCTCATCCGAAGGACCGGTCTCTACATCCCGCAGAGGGATTCGAACCCGTGATGTAAGGATCAATTCCTTAGTCTGCGACTTTAGAGCATAAGCTACAACCACTGCGCCATGCGGGCGACAATTCAAAACGTAATAACTTTTATTTTCTAAATCGTTAAATCTGTTATTTTCTAATACCCCGGTTTCAGGACCTCCTTCCCCTTGGAAACCTCAATCACTGGTCATGAGATACACGTAGTACCCTTGCCCCGTCTGAGACTAGGAATGCCCAGCACCCTTGCCTCACTAAAAATTTGAGCCTAGTTACGGCCTTGTCTCTGGAGGTACACCTGGTCAGCAGGTGTATACCCATGGTACACACACAGACTTGGCAGCTATTCAAATTACTGCCCATTATGACCTCATCACACATGACATTCAGATTTGGATTTTTTTTATGTTTTATTCAAAACAAGAACAAGGAATAACAACATCACATTTACATGACATTTTGATAAAAAAAACAGTGGCAAGTTTGTCCATGACCCGTCGGTAATTTATGATAAGTTTCTTTAAACCACTGAGCTAATTTTTTTATCTCTTTGTGTGGCAGTGATTCAATGTCTATATAAACAACAAACACATTTTTTAAAACATTTATTTAGGTAGATCTACTATCTCGAAATTATTTCTTTGATTCTCACATCAAGTTTCAAAGTTCCATATTCTTTATAGTAACTCCCTTACCTGTAAAATGTTCTTTCCAATTCTGGTGTGCTGTGAGACATATCAAAACAGGTCTTTTTGTACATGTATCTCTCATGAATCCTGAATTTCATTAGAATGAATCCTTCCACATGAATTTTTTTTTATTTTCTTGATGAATTTCCTTTTTGTAAGATCAAAATCGAATGATCTGAGCTGTATTTTCCTGATGCCACCCAGTTAAATCAAAAGGTCGTACTAGTTATCTGTCCTTGCAAAAATCTATAAGAGTTAAAGATGAGAGAAGTAGAATTGTAAGAAGAATCTTGTAATTTAATACATTAATAACTTAATTTTACAAATAAATTGTATTATGATACTTTAAGATTAACTAATATTTTTGAACTAGTATGCAATCCTTTTCACTCTTTGTCAAATAATATGTTCAATTTATTATTTTTTTTAAATGATGTAAATGGCTGGTTTTGAAAATGACCACATAATTGAAAGGAAATTTCAATGAACACCATGAAATTGACCCTTTGATAATTAGGTAAAATATACAAAAATAAACCTTTAAGAATGCGGAAACTGTAATATACAAATTTTAAACAAAGCCGGAACAGAAAAGCAAAACCTAAGAAAGTTTGGATGACTGCTACTTGTTTAAAACTTAGAAATGAAGTAAGAAAACTAGGCAAAAAGTTTCAAACCTCTTAAAATAACTCTTCTTTACACAGAACATTTACATCTCTGAGGAGTTTGGTGCAATTCCCATTATTTTTCAGAGTTTATAAATTATTATTTAGATATTATTACAGATTACAGAGACTTGCTTTAGATCAAAAGAATTCAAACTTACTTTTATAACATACATATTTTGGAAGTGGAAAAACACGTTGGCAAAACTGTATACAATCTATACTTGATGAAGTTATCGGTTCAAATGCTAATACATTATCAATATGATTTAGAAAATACTTTGAAAAAAATATTTTGAGAATATAGTTTTTAAGGATATAATAAATATCAAAGAAAAAGGTAATGATAAATCATCATTCTACAACCAGTTAACAAGCCAAGGAAATCTTAACAAGCTTGAAATTCAACCATTCTTAAATTTTTCCATTTCCAAGAATCTTCGTTCTTTTTTTTACTCGATTGAGAATAAGTGACCATAAATTTCAGATAGAGGTTGGCAGATATTGTAACCCAATTATACCAAGAGATGAAAGATACTGTATTAATTGTCAAAATGTTGTTGAGATGAACATCCTTTTTTTTTTTATTTGTATGTCATTTATATAAACAACTAAGAAGTGAATTTTGTACACTTTTTAATAATACATGTATATCATATGAAACTCTTAATCCAGCAGATGTTAAATCTACAAGAAAGATTTGTAACTTCATACGTGATGCATGTAATATCAGAAATTCCATGTGACTATAAATTTTATTTTTGTTTACTATATGTATGACTTGTGCCACATGTGGTTTTTGTCAAATTGAATAAAAAAAAAGGGCTATCCTCTCCATAAGTGTCTGTAACCACTAGCACAATCTCAGGAAAACATTAACACCTTTTAGAAAACAGATACATGTATATCTGAAGTTTATGGGTTTATTTCCTGTTACTTTTTTTTTGCCGCAACTGACCCTCGTATTTGCTAGTCGAGGTCACATATGTTAGACAGACTTCTTTTCTTCGGACTGTGTTCACGTGAAATTGAATCATTTTGACATTATGCCTTAAAAATGAAGAACTAAAAAATAATAGCTGTTTAAATTGATGACCATGTTCAGTGAGATACTGAGCAAAATAGGACATGTGACCCTTCTATGTAAAACAAACAATTGCTTTTTTCTTAAACAAATTTATTAGATCTATTTTACACATCTTTTTCTGATGGTCGGTCCTCAATCACTCGGTTCAACACCGCAGGTCCTTTCTTTTCCATCGTGTCTTTAATCTGGGAAAAGGGAATGCGACAAAACAGGTACTGTGTATAAGTGTAAGGAAGAACTCTTTTTAAGGCTTCTTCTTCTTTCTCGGTCCTGATTAAATCTTGAAGACACGCTTCTAAATTCATGTACCAGAGACCTTTCGGCAGAGTTCCAAGATCATTTTGGATCTCCCATTTGTGTTGCTGATAGTGATGGTTGATTTTCACCCTCACTCTAGCTCCTCGAAGAGATGGGATTTTCACTCTTTTTTCCAACCACACTTTTTTTCCTGGAAAGATTTTTGCAAGAAATCCCTGGTTAGCCCATAATTCTTTCCTGAAATCCTGCATGAATTGTCCTGGATGATTTTCAAAGTAATCCATGACTGCTCCTAGTTTAGTTTTCATCCAAGGCCCCAGGGTTTCTCCGTTAATAGACCAGAGATACTCCATCTTTTATTTTTTTTTGAAAAAACACGTCTGACTTGGTCACTGAACTTTTTTTTCAGAATGAGAGGGGTTTGAGTCTACCTCTTTATAAATCCCCAATCTATTTTTAGCTCGGCACGCGCTTCCAACCTAAAGAACACCTGTTTCGCAGGTGTTCTCGGCACCCTCTTCCCACCCAAGGACACCTGGTCCGCAGCTGTACAATGTACAAACACAGACCTGGCAGTGATTCAAATCACTGCCTATTGTGACGTCATCATCACAAAAATATGGTATATAGAGAGTCGCTCTGAGAACAATGTGCTCATTTTTATCAATCATGTCTTTTGTGTGGAGAATTATGCATTGGTTTCAGGTAGAAAAGAAAATATGCCATCACTGACATAAGGAGACGAAAAACCTAGTGAAATACTCCGCCTACAACCATGCCGGGGAAGTTGTTAGTTGGTTTTGGGAATGTAGTGAATGTGGGGAACCTATACCACATTGGGTGGTAGAAAACACCCCCCTAGTTTGGAAGATTGTGCCTGTACGTGTGATTGGTGTGTGAAATATTACTTGTGGAAATATCCGGTGGAGAAAATAATACCACCTTGGGCCAAGCTCATGAAAAGAAATAGAAAGATTGAGAAATGCCTTTCCTGCTGGGAAGAAAAGACTCAAGGGAAATGGAAATGCGGACAATGCAGGCAATATCCGTGCTGTGAAAAGTGTGTGAAGAACCTTTTTCAGACTTCCTACAGGAGATGTCCTTTATGTCGATACGAAGGAAATAAATGTCGTTTTGAACAATAAAAGTGTAAACTAAAGAAACAAGTCTTGTTTTTTTTTATCTCAGCTAAGTGTATCTTAGGAAAAAAGAAAACCAACACCAGAATTTTGGTTTCTATGGTTTATTATTCATAACAACAAGAACATCATAATTACATTCAAAACTTTTCTTCAGTTCTTTTTGTAAGGGGAAAGATCTCCTCTTGTACAATAGTGTGTTTCACAAGCACAGTCTATGATGTCGTATCCTCTCAGAACCACATTCTTGGCATAATCTTTAATACAATCCCCGGCTTTTGTCATCCATTTCCCTTGAATCCAAGTGCTTTCGGGTCCCTCTCTTTGGTGAACCAAGACGTATTTGAATTTTCATTTGAATTCCCGATACTTGGGATGTCTGGGTCCTAATAAGAACATGATGCTGCCCCCTTTGGGATCGGGTTACGTCATTCTCTTATACAGGTAGATTTCATTGAGACCTGTTTGTCCTGGATTCTTACCAAAGAAATCTTGAATACATTCCTCTTTGTTTTTCATCCATTCTCCTTTTAAAGTAGTACCTTCAGGTTCTATTTTCCAACGATACTCAGAGGTTAAAAATTCCATGTTGTGCTCTGTCCCTCACTCAGATCAGAAATGATCCCTGGGTTTGGTGTCTCTTTTTATATAGACTCTTGAGTGTATTTATTTTTAGCTTGCAGAGGAAAACCAATAGAGAATATTTTATAAGAAATAATTCAAAATTCTCATTCTATATCACTGAGTGTGGGGAAAAAACTAGGTGTGAGGAGCTTTCTTAGCATTAGAAAACACCAAAACTTTTGCAAATTTGGGTTCTGTCCTATATTTACATTTAACACAGAAATAGGCGTTTGGATTGTCGAATCTCGCCTCGACAGATGGGACAAAACTGGAAGGAAGGAGCACACAAGGCACAGCAACACACGTGTCCACAAGGTAGAAAAACGATTTGTAATTCCTCGTCTAAACAAATGTGACATTTTCCTCGAGCCTGGACGTCTGGCTCTGGGTTCAGTAGAGGTTTGATCTCAGGTAAAGGTTTATACCTATTCTGCTCTAAAGCCACAATGAACACATTCATCACCCACCCTCGTCCTTTATACTGATTGATGTAAGGACAATTCGGGTTCCAATAGGCATGTTCTACAGAAGGATCGTCCTCGGGATCCCAATTCATTAAAGTAATTCCACAATGAAAACAGGTAGCGTTATCATTCACTCCCTTGTAGTAAAACCCGGCTCGGGCTATGTCTGGTATTTTTCCTTGGAGAGGCTCTGGCCATCCCTGCTCAAAAGTAGCTTCTCTCTTTGAGAGCTGAACATACTGGGGATAACGCATGGGTTGGTCTGGCTCGCGACTACTCATGATTTAAAATGACCTTTCATGTTGAATTAGAATGCCTTTTATAGAGACTATGAAGAAAGAAACACAATAAACACCATTTTATTTTCATGTCAATATCCATAAGGTAAAGTGTTATAAGAGGGTACCAATAATTGTCTCTTATTATATACAATTCTGTACTGTTTCTTTAAAGGCTTGGTCTGGACTTCATGATCACGGTTCCTCTGGATTTGGTAGGGATAAGACACTGTGACTTCCTCTATTTCTTTCATCAGCATTTTTTGTAAAGTCTCTTTGGACACGATCTTGGAATTCCGATAAGTCAGAGTCAGTCCTTTCACGTTACCGACCTCAGTTCCCTTGGCTGTGATATAGTGATAATGTTTGGGTCTTCCCGATATGAATTTAATGATGTGGTCCCCGTCTAATTCGTCGGTCCATTCTCCTAAACTGTTGCCAAGGGTGGGGTTAAAGGCTCCCTCTTGATGTTGGTAGATGATACTGTCTGCATCGAAATAAAGGGCCCTCTCTCCTAAAGGCTGTAGAGTCTCGTAGAGGTGTAAGCGAGCATGAGCCGTGGTGAAACAGGGCCACTATCACGTTTCCAAAAGAGCATTCTTCTACAAATTCCTGTTTTTCTTGGTAAGTCACTAGCATCATGTCATATTTGGGGTTCTCTTTATTGACTAAGAGTGGGTCAGGGGCTGGGAGAATAAAATCTCCTTTTTACCAGTCATACCCACTGTAAGCAGGTAAACAGAACAAACAAAAGCCTAACAATTGATATGAAACAAAAATGCCAAAAAATACGACCGACTAATAGGTTATATTTGCTAACAATGTTATTATTTACCTAGAGGTACTGTAAGCAGAATGAAAATAATACCCCGTCGCAATTTTTGTGGTATGTCCATTCAAATGTTTCTCTGCCTCGGAAGGACTGCCATAAAATCACATTCTTATAAAGCAATGAACTGATTTTTGTTCATTTTTTATCGCATCAACTCCAAATACTGGTCAATCGTGAACTCCATGCATAGAAGCCGACATCTTGTAAACTAAACCGACAAGTGTGTAAAACAACTATCTGATGCATGAAAGCGGTGGCAGGTTTTTCGACTGGCTTGCTTATTCTCCCATTCCACCATATTTTGCTTGCTCCCGAGTTGTATAATTTGAATAGACTTTGAGCTTGAATGTTGTTTGTTATATCCATATCTCATTGTAAAAAAAAAAAAATAGAATATTGTATTTATGTTGAACTCTGGCGTCTCCATTAATTACATGTTGTAAGATCTTCCACACCACGTGAATAGATATATGGAGAACGGAATGGAACTTTCATTTAGAATTTCTATCATACCAAGTTTTTCATACTAATATTCATACGTTATTACCGTAATGACGGTGAAAATTGAATAAGGCAAATGAATATAGCGAAGGGGGATTTACAAATTATTTTTAAACAAGATAGATTGACACTCTTTTTAAGTGTTTTTATTTCAAGTTCGCGAAAGAAATAAAATTTGGTGTTCCTAGTAATATTGAAAATGTATGTGCACCGTAGTTCAGGAATGACATTCTACCACAAAGTTTCGGGTGTGTTAAGAGAGTTAGAATATCGAATGAATTTCCAAAAGAAAGGTTACAAGCGTCAATTTCAAAAATTTTGAAAATATTGAGATCGTTATAATGACTTGATTAGCAAAAATGAACTTTATTGCATAGTCTAAGTGATCAATAAATAGGGTTTTCGGCGGATGCGACCTATGTTATGTTGTCGTATTAGGTCCGGCCGGACCTTTACGGACAGATGATACAAACAAACTTATGTCAAGAAATTTGAAAACAATTTTGGTCATGTTTATATGAATAAAAGAATAAGTTTCATCGCCTAGTTTGTAATTTTTTTATTCCAAACTTCATAAAAATGTGATTTGAAATGAAAAAATATTTGTGTAGATTAATAAGAATGGTTTCAGAAGGGCTGAATTTTGAACATCACAGAAGGTTTACAATTTCTTTATATTCTAGAAATTTATTTGCATCATTTGCAATAAAATTAGGCCAAAAAATATATACCGATCCAGCAATCCATTTCTTGTTTGAATCATGTCCTTTAAAGAGGCGGACCAAATATTATGCGACACCTGTCAACAGGGGATGCTTTCTCTCTTCCGCCCCTACATGTAATCACATACTTAGAATTTCTAAGGCTCCGTTTTATTCCCTTTTCCTAGATTTATATTCTTCTAAGACTTTTTCGATCATAACTTCTTAACTTCATCCTTCTTTAGATTTAAAGTGTGGGCAATCTATAAAATCTGTATATGAAATCCCTTTTATAGTGATTGATAATCCAGCTTGTTTGGATGTTGAAACGGTATGAGAAACATGTTGTGTATGACAACTTATCACTAATGTTTTTGAAAACCAATGTACATGTGTAATAACAAAGGAAATAAGCAAAATCTGCGATGAAACAATAATGTCTTTTCATTTTTATGCCCCGCCATGAATATGGCCGGGGCATATAGTGTTTGTCATGTCCGTCTTCCGTCCTTCCGTCTTTCCGTTCTTCCGTCTTCCGTCACACTTTGCGTTTAGCTCTGTTCAAAGCTAAGTTTCTTTGAAACTATCCAAGATATTTTCATCAAACTTCATATGCTGATAGATATTGATGAGAGCTATGCAGCTGCATCAACATTTTTTGACCCTGACCTTTACTTTGACCTTGACCTCACTTTTCTTAAATTGGTGTTTAGCTCAGATTTGAACATACCATTCAAGTTGGTGTTATCAAACTTCACATGTTGATACAAACTTGCATGGATGATGCATCTAGAGATGAACACTACCAGACTTGCTTCGGATGCTGGATCTGACCTACATTTTCCAGATAAGTGACCAGGTTAAAGTTTTTGGAGCAGGTCCATTTCCAAGGAACTATAAGCCCTACCCAATCCAAACTTTCATGGACGATGCATCTGGGGATGAACACTACCAGACTTGCTTCGGATGCTGGATTTGACCTACATTTTCCTGATGAGTGACCAGGTTAAAGTTTTTGAAGCAGGTCCATTCCTAAGGAACTACAAGCCCTACCCAAACCAAACTTGCATGGATGATGCATATAGAGATGGACACTACCAGACTTGCTTCGGATGCTGAACCTGACCTACATTTTCATTCCTAAGTAACTATAAGCCCTACCTGAACCAACCTTGCAGGGATGATGCATCTAGGGATGGACACTACCAGACTTGCTTCGGATGCTGGATCTGACCTATATTTTAATTCCCTAATAACTATAAGCCCTGCCTGAACCAAACTTGCATGGATGATGCATCTATGGATGGACACTACCAGACTTGCTTCGGATGCTGGATCTGACCTATATTTTCATTCCCAAGTAACTATTAGCCCTGTCTGAACCAAACTTGCATGGATGATGCATCTAGGGATGGACACAACCGGACTTGCTTCGGATGCTGAATCTGACCTATATTTTCATTCCCAAGTAACTATAAGCCCTGTCTGAACCAAACTTGCACGGATGATGCATCTAGGGGTGGACACTACCAGACTTGCTTCGGATGCTGGATCTGACCTACATTTTTATTCTCAAGTAACTTTAAGCCCTACCTGAACCAAACTTGCACGGATGATGCATCTAGGGATGGACACTAACAGACTTGCTTCGGATGCTGGATCTGACCTACATTTTTATTCCTTAGTAACTATAACCCCTACCTAAACCAAACTGATCAAATTTTATATACATACGAATTTTCATGTTGCTTTACTAAATATCCTCGGCGGGGCATTCATGTCCTATGGACATATTTCTAGTCATGAATATTGATGAAGTATGTATAAAACAACGTAACCATGCATGACCGCGGGAAACCACGTTGTATTTCGTAACAGATTATGAAAACGTTATATATCCGTCGTTACGGCGTAGACGCATTATACAGCTTGCTTTCAAAGGTAAATAAGTATCATGAGTACGAAGTTTGCCATTCACAAAAAGAATAGTGTGCATACATATAATCAACAGCTAGCCTTGTTCCCTAACCAATCCTTTACTCTTTTTATGCCACTGGAGCGAAAAATCCCAGAGGTATATTGTTTTTGTCCTGTTTTGTCTGTTGTCAACTTTTACCTAGCCCATAACTATTGCACTGTCACGGGTAAGTGTATACCACTTCAGTCTACATCCCACTCCAGAATTGTGTTACCATCGAGGACACAGTGTTCCACAAACACATCTGGATTTTGATTATTAATCGTAATGTTACGACGTTTTCACTTAAATTGATACAATGAAATATATGAAGATAATGAACAGTATTCGAGCTCAGAAGTCCATTAAACAAAACATATGAGCAGAGCAAGCACGGACCCCCGAAACATCAGAGGTGGGATCCGGTTCCATGAATGTTTCCAATAGAGTTAATTTCGTGGTCGGTAAATAATTAATGATAATTTGATACCTTTATAACGCATTCGTTTCAATTATGTAATTTACCTTCTTCTCTAAACTTTTTACTGACGTAAACTTTTACAGTCCACATAAAAATCAGACAAAATTAAAAAAAAATCTGATACAGCCTCCCTCATGAAATAAAACTTCAGTATAAAATTTTAAAATGTTGTCTTGAAAAATAAAAGTACTGAAAATTTGGGGAAGTTTGTTGACGTAATAAAGCTACGAGATTGTTTTGAAAAGTTCGTTGAATGCCTGTCATATATATAGAACAAAGAGTAAACTTGCGATTGTTTATTTAAAAAATGGCCAGATAAATTGACATAAAATATAAAGGTTACACGATAGTTTGAACAAAGAACTACCTATTTCATATAAAATTTCCATGGGCTCTGTCTTCATTTTTTTTGTAGTTACTCTCTATGCATTTCGAGTTTACTACAAAATATTATCTCCCTTTGTAGAGCTCTTTTGCTTTAGAAACAAATTTTAGTCCATGAAAAAATGGCAGAAGATCAAAACAAATGTAATCAAAATAGCAACAAGTGCAGTTTTTCGGCCTTTTCAAACATTCCTTGTGGGTTATCATCATACTTTACATCTGAGAAAGATTATGTTCAAATTTCCAACTGTAAGAAAGACATCAGCGGACACCTTGGATATTTAAGACTAGGACATGACAATATTCCGTCTGAGGGGCACTTACTGTTGTTCAGAATTGGGTTTTTTTCTACACTAAATAATTTCACAATTTGCCCTAATCATCGTGCAAAACTAGGCGTAAAGTGGAAGAGACAGAGTATAAAATGTTCCTTCCCAGAGCATTTCAGCCCCAAATGTCGTGCTTTATTCTTGAACAAAAAGGAGTGTTGCTTCCAGTTGGTTCAGGTAAGATTCAAGGTTAGGGCTGTACTTCTCTAAATATATACCGATAGATATCTATCATTCAATAGTATATGCAATAATATCAGAGTTTCCGAAAACCATCGGTTCTACCGGGAAAACCGGTCCGTGTGACCGAATATGGTGGTCGAGCGCTTGTGCTGAATAATTGATTGTGCTCTGATATATCTATAACGATGTCTCCATAAATGATTATCAATGCAGCATGCTCCTATTCTTCGTATATCTATTTTGCAATTCTACTTGACCTAGATCCTTCTAAAAACGATCGTTTTTTTTTATTAATTTATCCGAATTTCCTCCATTCCTCTGTTAATGGTAAACACGTCACATGCAGTTAAGGGCCTATAGGTCATGAAGTGCATTGTCCACTGAGAAAACGTAAAGATAATTTTGATTAATTTTTGCTTTCATTTTAAATTTCTATCATAACTGTTATTTATATTTGATAAGATTCAATTTTACAAGTGAGAATTAAAACTTTAGTTGCATAGCCCTGGTATCCCAATCTCTGTGTTGATGAGCCATTGTGTGGCATGACAAGATTTACACATTCAATGTCAATTTCTTTTGAATAACATTATGAAATAGTTATTGTATATTCTAAAATTTATTCGGACTGAAAGAATATATGCTTCGGACTGGTAGATTAATTAGCATGAAGTCATCAGTCCAAATGACTGATATTATAGAAATTAATATTTGGTTTTCGGAAACTCTGCAAGACACAATATTCACATTATACCCATCCAGGCTATCTACAAAATCAATGAGACTTACTTAACTTCATTCAAATTTTACTAATTAAAAATATACATATATATACATGTACTTGCATTTAGTTTTTTTTTTTGGTACAGGTATTTGTCGTCAATGTAGATTTACATTGTATGATGAGATGAAAAACTTGGACATTATTGAAAATAGGGTAAGAATCCATAAATTTTAAAATTCAAAAGTAATTAAAATATGTTGCAATATTATAGTGTTATATAATAACAAAATATTTTGCACATGCCTAAACACAAGGATTATCAGTCCATGAAAGGCAGTATGGCGTATTAATTACCAATGGGGCCCTTTTAGCAATCTATCAATTACGGGCGTATGACACATATACAATATACTTACTATAACAATTACATGTTCTTCACAATATGTAAATAAATGGTATTTGATTTGATTTTTAAGAAGGATAATTTATAGAATTCAGATTTCACAGTTTATACTAGCTGGTAATTAATTCTCAGGTTTTTTAAACATGTTTATTGTGAATTTTACAAAGTCACTGTCAGTCAGTAATTTCTTTTTAATTGGCTCTTTCTTCATAAAATTATTCTTATTATTTCAATGAAATAAAAAATAAAATACAAAAATTAAACTATAGACAATAACATCTATCTACATCCTACAATGTAATTTTACGATTGTTATTGCAAAAGTCAAAATTGCTATAAATTATATTTAACAGTTACCAAAACAAAGTACGGATGTTTCAATAGTGGATGATGCACACACAAAGGAAGACCATGAAGATAAAGATGAAGTTAGTATTGTCTATTGATATTATGAGAAAAATCAATTTTCTTTTTACTTTTAAAGCTTTTGATAAAGTTTTTTTTTTTACATAAAGGACAACTTTACACCCCCACCCCACCCCCCACTTCCAAAAAGGCAACAAACTAACACAATTACAATGTATAATAATTTTTTTAAAAAAATTCTTTTGTATAGGAGGAAATGGTTGAAAATTCTAGTTTTCATCCTGTTGATGGTCAAATGAAGTTATATTCAAATGAAGAATCAGTAAGTGTATAAAAAGGCCGAATAAATTATTTTTTTTAAAAAGTAAACTTTTCCAACTAAGGTTATATACCAGATAACTTTGTAAGGTTTTTAAAAAAATCATATTTTAGTTTAATTTTCCATTATGAAATTTAGAGAATAAGATATTTTCTCCTTCAAGAATGCCTTCGAACTACTGTATACAGGGAAGTTTTTGCCCTACCCTCATTTGGGCATGTTAATAAAACTGGGAGAAATGAAATAATACAGTATATTTTTTTTAATAAAACTATAATTGGGCGAATTTAAAACGGGGCAAAATTGTTTGCAAATGTGAAAGGGCGAAAATTAATCGGGACAAAAATAACCCTGTATATAGAATGGATTTAAATGTAATTTTAAGCAGATTGATATGTTTTTGACACAAGTCATATTGACATAGGCAACACAGGTTATACCATTTAAATTAAATTTATATCCAATCAAATGACGTATTACAAACCAAAATTAAATTATTTACAAATTAAGTCATTTAATTATATGTATTATTTTGTTTGTTTGTTTTTTTCAGGAGGAAATGGCTGAAAATCCTAGTTCTTATCTTAGTGCTGATGGTCAAATGAAGTTATTTTCAGATGAAGAATCAGTGAGTTTATATCAAGACTGAATAAATTATTTTCAAATTTACCAGTAGTCATGAAATATTCAATATTGAAATGTAAGTAAAATAGATATAACCATGATCAAAATTATAATTTTAGGATAAAGTCCTGGTAAGAGTTGATATTTTATAATGCTAATTTCTTATACTTGACAGGTTCCAAGTTCTCAACCATGCTCCCAATCCTCCTCTTGGGGTGAAGAAAATAACAACACACTAGAGGTGTTCAATAAGGCAGTTGCTTTACTTCACTCAGACCGTGGAAAAATGAGCCCACTGAAGTTCAAAGTGCATCAAAATCTTGAAAGCCTTAAGCCCTCCACCACAAGACTAGTAAAGAGAAAGGCTACTGAAGCAGTTCATCTAGTTCTAGAGAGTAAGCTTATTTACATTCAATTCCATGCTTACATGTACACGTCTTTGGAATGTCAAGGAGTACTTGAGTACTTGACTATCGCTCGATAATCATTACTAACTATTGACCAAATATTGTACAATTCTCAGTTAAGCTTGGACTTTCTGTAAGGCGTGGCATTCTCAACATTACATAAATAGCATCTGTTGAAATTTACATGAGATAGAAATTCGGGCAAGTGTCAACAAGTGTATCGAATACATGTAACCAAAAGCATTGTCTTGTCAGACAAAGAAATGGAACTTAGGTCATATCATTGTTGTCAACAACAATTTAAAGTTCCTGATGTTTTTAATTTCTTAACCAATGAGATTCTATTCGCCATTTGACAGACACTAATTAGCGCCGAGAATGCCAAGTCTTACTGAAAGTCCAAACTCAACTTAGAATTGTTCTCATTTCTTCTGTTATTTGTCAAAAGTTGAATATTGAGTAATAATTCTAGATGCAATTTAAAAGTTAAATCAAGAGTATTCCTAATGTCCATCTTAATCAATATAATCAATATCTATCTTAGACTTTTCCCCCCAAATCTTCATTTCCCAGATCCTACTCATAAACTATTATTATATGAACTAATAAGCTGTTACCTACCAGGGATGGGGATCTGAATAAGCTCCATAACAAGTACAGCATTTATATGCATAAGCTGGTTTAAATCTGACTGCTCTCTTGCTCACTTTCGTCTTGTATATTGATACAAGAAAATATATATTGTGTATTTCCATTTATACTAGATATAGCACCAAGACAGGGAAGCAAATTATTGAAGCGCATTCAGGAGCCACAGGAACAAAGCAATGTAACTAGCAATCTGGAGCAGCTGGTTGTTAAACTGTACTCTGAAAGTACAGACAAGAATGTGAAAAAGCAACTACTTTCCATGATTGCATTTTCCCATACCAAAAAGCAACTTCAACAGCTCATTCCTTCATTAACTATACATGCAATAAATGAAGCAAGAAAACATGCTTCAGAACATTCTGAAGGTAATGCTGTTTTGCCATGTTATTAAAGTTTCAAACGTGGATATTGCAAATAGTTCAATTTTGCAAGTTTATGCATAATGTCCTTAAAAAATGGAATGAATAAGAGTTTTGGTTTTAATGAGTCATAGTTCTGTTTTCTATATAAAGTGAACATGTAAAATGAGGAAATTAAATACAACTAGACAGTTTAAAATTAGTATTAACACAATGCACCAATTTTTGAAGGTGCTGATGTTCCCAAACAAAAACCAGTGTTTCACAAGAAAATGGACATGATGAAGTTAGACCATGCTCTGGATTTCATCTTTAATCCATCATTTCATCAGGTATATTATTATTAATTTATTCTGAATTTTGGGTATGGTGGTAAACAGGTAGTGCAATTTTTAAGCAGAGTTCTGAAGTGTTTGATTACAATTATTGGTATCATTTTGATTTGAGTTGGATTTTACTTGAACCTATATATAATATAAGGATCCCTTAAAGATGGCATTACATTTTACCAACTCGGCCTGTCTTACGACATTTGGTTTTCCTCCAAGTTACCTGATCTCAAGACCTTGAAGTATGACTTTTTCAACTCCTATAGAAACACTGATGTGTATGAAAGACTTTTCTTCATTTACTTTTGTTTTTAACTTTTGATTATAATTTGACCTACTTTTCAAATACTTTAGCCTTGGACTTCCTGCTTTTGATCATGAAAGGCAGGGGATAAATATTTTAAGACACATATTACCTGTGTCAAGATCTTTGTATATTACCAGTGTCGAGATCCTCCGTTTGTTATTGACCCACTTTTTCCTAAATAAGTGTCAAACTTCATAGCTGAGGTCATTTCAATCTTGACATTGACTTTACTTTTCTTGAATTTGTGTTTAGCTCAGTTTTAGAGATACCATTAAATAGTATTTTTATCAAGCATATGCTAACAAATACTGATGTAAGCTTTTCAACTGCATTTCTTGAAGTTTCCTTTGACCTTGACCTCATTTTAGCTCAGTTTAAAATTAACCATATAAGATATTTTTATTAAAGCATTTATATAAAAGTAAAAGCTATTGAACTGTGAATGCATCAAAAACACTTGACCTTCATCTTCAAAATGAATTATTTAATACCCTGTCAGCATAACACTACAAATTTCCAGGAAGAATAAAAAAAAAACAATTTGCTTTTGCAGGAACTACATTAATTTTATGCATTGTTTTGTTAAATTTTGTAAAGGCTGCCTGATTTAAAAAATGTTCGAGGAATTCTTAGAATATTGTCATTGACAGGTTTCTTCTATTGGCACAAAAGAACTAAGGCTAGAGGATGGAAGCATCATGACAATTCCAGAAGTAATAAGAACAGTCTGGCATTCAACCCTCATTAAGATATACCAGGCATACTGTGAAGAAACCCAATATATTCCCTTATCTAGATCTACACTCTACCACATCCTTAGAGTTTGCCCAGCATCAAAGCGGACGAATCTAAAAGGCTTGGATAATGCAGCAGCAGACGGAGGGAATGCATATGATGTGCTTCTATCAACAGTTGCAGGTTTCTATGCTTATATATTTAATTGATGTCTGATAAGTATGATAGTATTGGTTCTTAGATGCCCTGTAACTTGAACTTACATGTGCAAGATGGTTAAAGCCCTGGCCTGGGGGCCATAAAACTGAGACGAGCTCACTTTTTATCTCAGTCTCACTTTTCCTAAAGAATATATAGTGGAAAAGTGAGACTGAGATCAAAAGTGAGCTCGTCAGGATAATTGAATCTTATAAACATAACTTGGTACATATATTTTTTAGATGTGGAAAAGTATGTACCAAATGGGATATTGCTGCTGGAACTGAAAGAATGTAAAGAATCTATTGTTACCAGTAGAATTTACATGAAGACAGATTTTAAAATGCATGTAAAACAGGTATTTGAAAAAATACCTATATAATTAATAGCTGTCAAATTTAAAGTGACTGTGAAACAGAATTACTACAAATTTGAGCTCATGCAGTTAAAGATTAATGTTTTATTCAGGTAACCAGTTATGCATGTTAATCTAATTCTTCAAGGCATATCATATACATTGAGATGTATACTGTATAACAAATAATCTAATCATGTCATTCAAAGACTCTTTTTTGGGTGGTGCAGTGTAATTGATTAAATAAATTATTTTATTCTTTCTTCTTTTGGTAGACTGATCACTGCAGTGATCATTGTATAAACTATGCTTTGAGTGATCCACATGATAAACAATTTCAACAAAGCTGTATTGATCATCAACATGATGTTGTATGTGATCGCTGTCAATTACTCCCAAATGCAATTTTAAGTTTAAAAGGAATATTGAACAACCTTGCAGGTAATTCATAAATGCATATATAGCTGATTGGTTTTTATCTTCTGCTCTTTAAACCTATACTTGAAATTAAAATGAATTTAATAAAGTTTAAAGTTCACTACTGTTGAGACATTACATATAATGGTTACAATATTTTTCTTACATACCAAAAGTTATGGAGCATTAATTTTTAAATCAGTTCAATAATTGAATTGACAGATCTTTCTCCAACTACAAAAGAGGGGATGTTTGTGGACATAGATGCAGCTGAAGTAAAAATTATTGAATGGAAAAGTCATGTTGTGCGAACCATCAATCAAGACAATTCAAGAACCCAGACACTGAAAGATCTGGAGCCTGGTGATATCCTTCTTGTTATGGACTGGGCCATGAAATACTTGCCTGTATCATTCAGAGAGAAACAGAGCGATTGGTACGGCCAAAAGGGTATTAATTGGCATGTGTCTGTCTGCATTTACAGAGATGAAGACTCAAATTTAAAGGTGAGATAGTAAATGAAAATAAAATGCTCTTTTTGTATGTCCATATGTCTGTTTTTTCTAAGGGGAGCTAATCAAGGAATAAGGTAAAAGTAGGGAATGGTCATAAAAAAAATCTCAAGAACCACTGGACAAGAAAACATAAATATTAAGTGAAAGCTTCTATAAGGTGTTGCAAATTTTGATTGATCAAATCATGACCCAGAGGATTCAGTGCAAGTCATTTTCAACTACAAAACATGCAAGAACAACCATTTACAACAACTTGTTGCACAAGTTACACAGATCAATATTAATGATTTACAAACTTATTTGGCTGAAGTAAAGATGGTGTGTAAAATTCGGGCATAAATTTAAATTAATAATTGCCTTTTTTGTCTTTCAGCACAGAACATATGCACATATGATGGATGGAGTGAGGCAAGACTGGATGGCTGTTGCATGCCTTTTGGAAGACACTATCCGTCACGTCAAAATGCAACATCCTAGCACAGCAAGGGCATTTCTCAGAAGCGATAACGCAGGATGTTATCATTGCGGCAATTTATGGCTTGCAATTCCAGGCATCAGTAGGCGTACTGGTGAGAATTTTTGGTCATTTGTGTGAATCAATAATTTTAAGATATATAATCAAAATGCTTGACAATAAAATATATAAGGTAGCCAAGGTTCTGAAGTTTGATATGATTTGTTTACATAATCCTCATATTTTACAGGAATGCATAGCATGAGTCAAAGTATTAATCTCTTGTATAACACTATATAATCTAATGCTTGTAAATTGACTGTAGTATGTTTATATAGTACAGAGTATTATTTGACCATTTTATCTATTTTTAGGGTGTTTTCATAGCTGGATACGACTACAGTGAGGCCCAAAGCGGCAAGTCATATTGCGATGCTAAAATAGCCCACATGAGGGGGAAGTTTAGTAAAGTGGCAGCGTCAGGTCATGACATTCTCTCTGCAGCTGACATGAAACGTGCCATCGATTTATATGGAGGAACAACTGGATGCCAAGCTTCACACGTTGCACTCCAGGAAATACCTTCTACAGCCAAGTATCCAATTAAAGGCATCACTAAAATCTCAAACGTGAAGTTTGGAGCAGGATTTATAACAACTTGGCGGGCCTACAATATCGGAACAGGCAATCAGTTGTCTTTGGATTATGAAAACAATGTAAGTATGGATGTATGTGCTGCAAATACCCAAAAATGTTATTTTTGATTAATTTCAGCATGAACAATAATCACAGTTTAAGATTATCAAATATTTTATTACAGAACCTGGCAGATTTAGAAATACGGTCTGATTTTGTATTGCATCGTGGAGCAGAAGGCACATTTGCAAACCCCTAGAAAGCAAAGGTGCTGGTGAATCAGCTAATCATGATCGTTGTTTTATTTGTCCTGAAGGGGGATGTACACAGTCCTTTACCAGTTACAGTGATATGCAGAATCACTGCTTCCTGGGAAATCATGCATATCAACTCCAGACAAGATCAGTGTATGATGACATAAAGATGAGGTGGAGAGATGCCTGTTGTACTCTGTCGGAGGATTTAATCAAATACAGTAGTACTGGGGAGGTACTAACAAGTCCAGATCAGCAGCCTATGGGATGGGCTTTGAAAAAGGAGAGAAAAAACGTAAGATTTACAGATGACGTAAAACGGTATTTGAATGAAATTTTCCAGTCTGGAGAGAATGGTGGAACAAAGGTCCATCCACTAGTAGTTGTGCAAAACATGAGGGTGGCTAAAGATAAAAATGGAGGGAAAAGATTCCAACCAGACCAGTATTTGGCTGTTGGCCAGATCTCATCTTTTTTTTTCAAGACTTTCAGCCATGAAAAAAACTCCATGCAAAGAAATCAAAGATGATGATCTAGATGCAATTCTTCTTAATATTGCAAAAGCTGAAACTGCTGCCAAATTTCAGTAAACTAAGAATCTTAGACTCTGAGACAGATATCCTTATACAGGGTGTGACAGCAAACAATGTCCTTACTTTGCGACTCTAGAGCACATGCTTTAATCACTGTGCCACGGGAAGTTTCAATATAAAGTTAGACCATATTAAGGAAAACATATTTTTGTACATTTAAAATTCTATTAATATGAAAGTTGAGGTAATACTAAATCAATTTATATTTCTTAAGACAAGCATTTTTAAAGTTTGAACACCCGAAGCAGTTTTCAGTTTAACGTAATTTTTATGTTTTCTAGAAAGTCACAATATTTTTAAGTCAGCATCATCACCATGTTGTCTCCAAGTCCTTTATGACATTTATTTGGACATTTTTAACAAATGAGTACTTTTTTTCTAATATCTTATGCACTGATATTGATGATTTTGGAAATTCTCTGTCTGTTTTGTTTAGTCTTTAAATATCCCTATCCATAGACCCATTTCTGAATTTAAAAAAATGCACATTTTTTAATTTTTAAAAATGTAATCAAAACTTCAATGGTAAAAATGTAATGACTTTATTTTATTTTGTTTTTTATCAAAATGTAATTGTATCAAATATATAAGTCATACATTATATCATAATTATATATTCATCATAAATAGAAAAATTAAAATGATGCAAATTTGAATTGAAATTTGATTAAAAAATAATAAAACCCCTTTTCCATACAAAAATACTTATAGGTTAAGATCTAGTAAATGAAAGTTGCTTACAGTTTTTCTTCTTCCTGAAATCTAGGAATTAGTGAGAGATAAACTTGTTTGTTTGCCTTATTCTACCAGGGAACATGACATAGAAACAAATCAGGTATTTAATAAGCATATAAGAAATTTGGCTTTAAAATACAGTCATGATTTTTTTAAAATATTTTATTATTTTGCAAAAATATGGACATCAAACGTCGGGACATGTTTGTTGAGACACCCTGTACTTTGTGATTATTTGTGAAAGAAAAAGTTTGTTGATTTTTATATTGATATATGAATTTGTTATTGTATATCATTAATAATCAATAAGAGCTGCTTCAGAATGTATTAACATAGCATGACAATAAGAAAATATGTTTTACCCCTTGTGTGGAAATCATGATGTTGAATCATAGTTCAGTATCATTTGTATAACTGCACTGTAATGTTACAGAAGAATAATTGTAAAGTATCGGTTGTATCAGATACCATCAGCATTTTTTAAAATTATTTTATGTATTATTTTTTGTGTGGCCATGAAAGTCTATTATACATACACTCATTAAATTTTCAGAGATTTTACAGCTATGTTTTTTTTTTTTTATGTACAATGTATATTAAAATTTTATAATGGATGTCCTAGGATATCCTAGGACATCATAGGTATTCTTGATTTCCTAAGATATTTTTAAGGCCTGGGATATACTGGGAAGTCTTGGCATTTTTATTCCTGGGATTTTTTTTAGGAATGTCCAAGGTAAAATTCCATGATAATTGCAAGAGTAAGCTTAAGATGTCTCATGATCTCCGGATCTGATTATAATGTTAGTAAAGATCATATATACCTAATGGTTTTACATATTACACCAAGTTTAAATTGGTTCTTAAGCAAAGAATTTTATCAGATACTAAATATTTCAATTGACAGATTACATGTATGATTTGAAAATCAATAATAACAATATACGAGGGGTTATCAAAAAGTTCGTGGACTGAGGCTATAAAATTAGTACTATATAGTCTGAGCTTACGAAATTTTTATAGAACATAAAACAACAAAAAATAAACAAATATTGAAAATTTTACCTTGATACGTTCATTATTTCCCAAATTATTATGAAATATAAACGACATTATAGCATCACCCGGCGCTGTCGCCGTTTAGTTTTATGACGTCTGACAACGTCATTGTTTTTCAATGTCTGTTTTTTCTACCTCATTCACTTATTTTGATGAGATACCCTGGAGCTGAGGAAGGACTTCAATCCGTCTTGTTTATATGACTAAACAATGTCATGAACAGCGGCTTTCAATGCATATGATATTCCAAATGGATTAAGACAATGGAAGAGATTCTCACTTGATTCTTCCAGCATATTTTGCTTTTTGGAGTTCAAAATCTACAACAAATGATCAACGTCATTTTTTGACGTGATTGATTTTTCACACCTTGACTTCAAATCGAAATTAACTGTGCATTCCTTTTCTCTCTGAATCTATTTTAGCATTAAAAACAAGTTATACTGATGCATATTATTTCTCCGTAGCCAGTTTAAACATTTCCTAGGTGTGTACCAGTTTTTCTGGGGGCGAAACTTTATAGAATGTTGAAAAAGGAAACCCCTACCCCCTTTTGACGTCATTTTCAAGGCAATATTTGTTTGGATACTCCATATAAAATTTAAGATAAAATTTCATAGAACTTCCAGAATGAGGTAAAAATTTACTATTTTATGGAACAATAGTGTCCCAACACATACCTGAATTAACGGGATATTTGGATGTCAAATGTTCACACCATAATAGTTTTTCTTAGCTATAATTAGGTCGAAAAAAACGTCGTTTCGAGGTTGCGCCGCATGGACATACCATTGCTTACAAAAACATTACTAATTTATTAAAAAATAAAATTTGTGATCTGTGATTTGTTCTATAGATAGAAAAGATGATGATAACTAGATATTTTTAAAAAAAGCGGTTTTAATTTAATGGCGCTAGTCCACGAACTTTTTGATAACCCCTCGTATATGCCAAAGTTGCCAATATGGTTCAGTGCTAAGAGTGTCTGCTCTAGAATCATGGAGTTAGAAGTTGATCCTTACGTTACAGGTTCAAATCCCACTGTAAGACGTGGAAACCAGTCCTTGGGAATAGACCATTTAAACCAAGGTCCCTTTTTGCAGTAGATGCTGGCATGAAAAAGATCCCTCCTTGGTCACTGGCCAAAGGTCAAACTTTGCAGCTCTCCACTGGCAGGTGGTGGCATCTCGATATGATTGAAAAATGCTCGAGAGGGACGTCAAACAACAATCAAAAACCAATATGCTTTTAAATTGTTTTACCAAAAGGGGAAAGAGAAGAGAAATCAATGCAAATATGCACATAAATCATTAGCAATGTTAACGTCATTTTTATGTTTTCTAAAGAGTCACAATATTTTTAAGTCAGCATCATCATCATGTTGTCTCCAAGTCCTTTATGACATTTATTTGGACATTTTTAACAAATGAGTACTTTTTTCCTAATATCTTATGCACTGATATTGATGATTTTGGAAATTCTCTGTCTGTTTTGTTTAGTCTTTAAATATCCCTATCCATAGACCCATTTCTGAATTTAAAAAAATGCACATTTTTTAATTTTTAAAAATGTAATCAAAACTTCAATGGAAAAAAATGTAATGACTTTATTTTATGTTGTTTTTTATCAAAATGTAATTGTATCAAATATATAAGTCATACATTATATCATAATTATATATTCATAATAAATAGAAAAATTAAAATGATGCAAATTTGAATTGAAATTTGATTAAAAAATAATAAAACCCCATTTCCATACAAAAATACTTATAGGTTAAGATCTAGTAAATGAAAGTTGCTTACAGTTTTTCTTCTTCCTGAAATCTAGGAATTAGTGAGAGACAAACTTGTTTGTTTGCCTTATTCTACCAGGGAACATGACGTAGAAACAAATCAGGTATTTAATAAGCATATAAGAAATTTGGCTTTAAAATACAGTCATAATTTTTTAAAATATTTTATTATTTTGCAAAAATATGGACATCAAACGTTGGGACATGTTTGTTGAGACACCCTGTACTTTGTGATTATTTGTGAAAGAAAAAGTTTGTTGATTTTTATATGGGAAGTCTTGGCATTTTTATTCCTGGGATTTTTTTTTAGGAATGTCCAAGGTAAAATTCCATG